GAAAGGAGGTATTTTGGCTGAGTCTTAATGAGTAAATAAGATTTTAACAGGCAAACATTGAGGGAAGGGGGGATTCTTGATAAAAGAAACATCAAACATAAAGAGTCTTAAAGACTCTAGTATGCTAGCGAACCAAAAATAATCAGCCAGGTAGACAGAGAGAGAAAAAAGAGGGGGGAAATATGAATAAGAATGTGCTTTTAGGGCGAAGACCCAACAGGAAAGGTCTCAAACAATTTAAACCACCAAAGGTATCTGAACAGGGAAGTTATATGATTAGTACTAGTTTGGACTATAGCTCACATCAGAGTTAAGAGATAAAAATAGTAAAATCATAGGAGTTAAGACTGTTGCAGAAAAAAAAGGAAGTACAATGATAGAAAAGGGCTAAAGATTAAATCTTGAGAAATAATTACATTGGGGAGCAGAGAAGAAGAGGGAAGTCAGTGAAAAACACAAGTGATGTGAAAGATAGGAGAACAAGAAGAGAATGTCATAAAAACCAAAGGGAAGCAGATATAGTAATCAACAATATCCGAAAAGAGGATGAATGTCTGAGAAGGATCTCCTTTGGCAGTGAGGCAGTTGCTGGACCCCTTAAGACTAATAGCTTCAATAGAACTGTGTGAGGGTAGGAAGAGAGCCAAGGCACAGTAAGTTAAGGGAAAAGGTGAAGAATTATAAAGGCAGCAAGTGGAGGCTGCTCTTCTAAGAACTGTGACAGTGAATGGAAAGAGAAAAAAGAACAAAAGTTTGAGGGCAGAGTAGGGCTCAGGGTAAGCTTATATAAGGAGTTACATGAACTTTTTTTATTCCCAGAGAATAAAGGAGGTTGAACCACAGTAACAGGAGACATGTTGCCAGGTCGCGGGGGTGAAATGAAGGCAGAACAAGTGAAAGAGGACAATACAGAAGGTGCCTTGGGAAAGAGAACAGGGAAAACCAGACAATTGTGTGCTATTGACCAAGGAAGTTAAGGGCACTCCAAATAGCTTGATAAAGTAATGTGCTAAGAATTAAATGGAGTGATACTCAGCAAAATAAGATTTAAACACTGCTATTTGGAAGAGGATACTCAACTGGAAATAAAGAAAATATTCCATCTGAGGGCCTGGATAGTAATCGTAAAACGATTACATGCAGCATTAAATGTTAAAATTTTCAAGTAGTAATATTAAAAAGCTACAAACTCCCAAAGCAACTGATAATTGTATATCAAAATGTACAACACAAATCTTATATTATCTAAAAGATTTTCAAAATCCAGCAACAATCTACTTTTTTTTTAAACTTAAAAAAAAATTGATTTTAAAAAGAGGAAGAGAAGGAGGGAAAGAAAAACACTGATGTGAGAGAGAGAAACAGGTTGGTTACCTCCTGCATGTTCCCCCAACCCCAGATCAAACCAGCATCTCGCTGTGTGCCCTGACGGGAAACGAACCTGCCACCTTTTTGGTGTATGGGACGACGCTCCAACCAACCGAGCCACATTGGCCAGGGCAATAGCCCCCTTTCTTTAAAGAATACAAGTGTTATTACAATCAAAATCCAGTATTTAAAATAAGTAGGTGATTTTTATTGTAAGTTCCATATCAAAGTTTTGAATCAGTCATAACATATTAACTATCCTTCTGAACTCTGCCATCCACAAATTCAATCAACTTAACCCAAATTACTGGTAAACAGAAAGAGGACATTTTTCTCAAGTAGGACACCAAAGGTCTCCCTTCAGGATGGATGGTAGCTTATTGGTCATCAGTCTGCAGGTACAGTTATTTAACTGATAATGAATAAAATTCCAACTATATTCTTATCTAGCTCACAGATCTCCATTTTGACCACAGGACATGATAATTCTGTCAAATATGCTCCAGTGATGCTCGGGCTGGATGACTCAGTTGGTTGGAGGGTCATCCCACACACCAGAAGGTGTCCGATTGGATTTCCGGCCAGGCACATACTCAGGTTTCGTGAATGGCAGGAAACCAATCGATGTTTCTCCCTCTCTTTCCCCCTTCCTCTAAAATCAATAAAATCTCTCTCTCTACCTATCTGTCTCTCTGTCTCTGTTTCTGTCTCTCTCTGGTGAAATCTAATTGCACAATGTCTAAAGCATTTTTCTAACGAATGAGTCTATAAAACTTTTTCAGAAGAAGGAAATGAGGCAAATCTGGCCACACCCTAGCCAGCCCTATCTTTATTCAAGGTACCACCAGCCTTGAATTTAAGTAATCCTGTAAGTTACGTTATGGCCCTAACTGGTTTGGCTCAGTGGATAAGCGTCAGCCTGTGACTCAAGGGTCCCAGGTCCTCGATCCCGGTCATGCACCTTGGTTGTGGGCACATCCCCAGTAGGAAGTGTGTAGGAGGCAGCTGATCGATGTTTCTAACTCTCTATCCCTCTCCCTTCCTCTCTGTAAAACATCAATAAAATACATTTAAAAAAAAGATTTTGAAAAAAACATTACATTATGGACCCTGCTCCAACCTCCATGGCTTCTCTTTAAATGTGCAAACTTTTGGTGATATAGATAAAAGCATTAAATGTCTCTTTATAATGTCCTTTATATCATGTTAGTGGAACATATTTAAAATCACACTCTACACAAAATATTAGAAATTATTTTCCCCTCCATTCAATGTTTCATAAAACCATTTTACTGAAAATATCCCAGTGCATCTTTGGCATCTGTGTCCATGTTCACTAGAGTGAGTCGTTAGCGGTTTTTCAAAGCACCGTTTCTTTCTTTTCATTTATAAAAGTTGTTTGAGTTACAGAACTTTTGGATCCTTGTTATCTTTTAAAAAAAAAATATATATTTTATTGATTTACAGAGAAGAAGGGAGAGAGACAGAGAGCTAGAAACATCGATGAGAGAGAAACATTGACCAGCTGCCTCTTGCACACTCCCTACTGGGGATGTGCCCGCAACCAATGTACAAGCCCTTGACCGGAATCGAACTTGGGATCTTCAGTCCGCAGACCGACGCTCTACTGCTGAGCCAAGCCGGTTTTGGCAAATCCTTGTTATCTTTTTAACCTAAATGTGAAGCACCCATTTTCTTCACTCTACAGGTGTGTGCTATAGATGTAGATTCATAATCCCTTCAAGTTAAGTACTTACTACTGTTGACTGACTTAATCAGCTTCAGATTTCTATCTCCTCCAGCCAATCCTTTGCAAGGCTTTGAATGGGGGCAAATAAAGCTCTTTTTATTTATTTAGCTCTTTTTATTTATTTATCTCTCTCTTTTCAGAGAGAAAATTTCTTTTTGAAAAGACCTACTTGTATGTGCAAGTAATCAAGTCAGGAATTCACAAAGAATCAGGAACCCAATCATTTCTTGAACACATTTCAATCAGTGACACTTACATTGCATGTGGGTGGGTGCACTAACAGCAGTCTTTACAAGTCAAGCAAGTTTTCTTTCTGAACTAATATATTAGAACTCTGCCATACTGTCATCAAAGAAGAGTTGAATAGGAGCTGTTGTTACTCAATCCCCATGAATTATCTTTCTTAGAGAAACAGCCAAGGGTAGTAATTGCAGTAATTTATGTGTATTGTATACTAATTGCTGGTCACTGTCATTAAACTCAAATTTCACCATTATTGAACAGGTGTTATTCACAATCCCATTCTACTGATGAATAACCAAGCAGAGAGGGTAAGAAATTTGCCTAAAGCAGTGGTAGGGCACGCAAGCCACATGCGGTTGGCTCTTTGCCCCTTTGAATGTGGCTCTTCCACAAAATACCACGGCCTGGGCGAGTCTATGTTGAAGAAGTGGCGTTAGAAGAAGTTTAAGTTTAAAAAATTTGGCTCTCCAAAGAAATGTCAATCGTTGTGCTGTCGATATTTGGCTCTGTGGACTGATGGGTTTGCCGACCCCTGGCCTCAAGTCAAACATCTTCAGAGCAGCCAACACTGTCTCGCTCCAGACCCCCTCCTCCCTTTAAAGGCAGCCCCATCTACCAGGCAGCTAGTGAGAATTAATAATGCGAATTAATAATGACTAATGAGAATTAATGATTACTAATAAGAATTGAGACTTACTAATGAGAATTAATAATGAGAATTACTGTGAAAGGTTTCAGTAACACTTTATTTCCTATCTCCATCGACACTGTGGGATGATGATGATGATGATGATGAGAGTGGGGAGTCCACCCACCCCTTGTGTTCACGCTCCCTGAGCTCAGCGCACCCCCATTTCGGCGGAGCCCCTCCGGGCACCCCGCTCCTGCAGGGAGCACAGGCGGACCCTGCCCTGTCCTCCTCCTCCTCCTCCTCCTCCTCCTCCTCCTCCTCCTCCTCCTCCCAACGTGTCCACGGGTGACACACAGAGAACGGCCCCTCTAGGCCTAGCTCTCCTCCGTTCCCCCCCAAACAGGAGGAAACTAACTTTCAGGTAACGGTCCCAGGACGCACCTGGGGGCGCCGGTTCCGAGGGGAAAGGGGGCCCCGGCGCGGACGAACGGACGGACGGAGGACGGCGTGCGGCAGGGGGTGGGGTGGCACGGGGTCCGCGCAGAGGGTGAGGCAGCGGCGGGGACCCGTGCTGGCCAGCGTGTCCTCGGGTTTCCCTTTGATGCACCCACATCCTAGGATCGGAAGACGCCGAGACCCCCCAAGAGTAGCAACTGCCTGGCCGGGCCGGCCGGGGCACATGCGCCTCCTTTCACCCCCCGCCCGAGGCGGCAGCCGGCCCCCCGCCGCCAGCATCCCCCGCCCCGTCAGCCCGCAGCCCGCAGCCCGGCCGGCCCTCCTCTCACCCGTCACCGCGCCGGAGGGACCGCCGGAGCCTCCCGACCCCAAGGCCGGAGACCCGCGTCCCGCTCCCGGCCCCGGCCGCAGCCTCCCCGGCTTCCCTCCCGTCGGACACCGCCCACATCCCCCCTCCACTGTCCCCCTCCCGCTGAACCCCAACCGAGCGTCTCCCGGAGCGCGGAGCCCAGAGGTCACGGGCGGGAAGCCCAGCCGGACCGAGGGGCTTACCTTTAACAGATTAGACGTCGCCATGTTCCTTCAACTTGGAGTCTCGCGAGACGGCGCGCGCGACTTGGCGGCGCTCGGGCCCAGGCCCCAGGCGGAGGCCGCAGCGCCCACGGGGCGGACGACGGGCCCGGCGGCCCGCAACGGGCGTGGCGGGAGCGGGCGGCCGGCCGGCCTGCGCGGACCTCGTCCCGAGTACCCGGAGCTTCCTCACGCTCTCCGGCCCTACATGGTCACCGCGGCTTCCCCGCGCGGAAGGGCTCATGCAAACGCTCAGCGAGGCCGCCGCGGCGAACGGTGAGAAGGTAACGGGAGCCGCCGGCCTGAACGGGAAGAGGAAGCATCGACTCCTCGAGCGAGCTTCCCCCTCCACCCCCCACTCCTTCGGATGAGCTTTGGCGGCAGCACCCGCTGCGCGGCCACCGGCTACGAATTGAGCTGGGCTTAGGCCCGGCGGCTCAGGTTTCCTCGGCCGCGTCACGTGACGCGGCGGGCGGGCGGGGGCGCGCTCGGGAGCGAGCGTGGGAGCCTGCAAGCTGAGGTGGGCCCGGAGGCGGCGCAGGGGCAGGAGCGCGCCCTCTGCTGGCGGGACCACGCACCTTCCCTCATCCCGCTCCCCAAATTCCCAAGTAACTTATCCTAGGAAATGAAATACTTTTTTTTTTTTTTTTTTTTTACAAACAGCTGTTTTCAATAGGAACGGGGCACGTGGAAGCCGCCCAATAAGTATTTGTTGAAATGGATGGATGAGTGAATGCATGCGCCAGTGTATTATTATCTATTCTATTCAAGAATAGGGTGCTTGGCACTGAAGTCTATAAAAGATTGATCAAGCAATGAATAGTAGTAATCTTGGATTTCCTGAAAGCACATTATTTTAGGAGCTTCTGAACCGTGAGCCCCCAAGCCTTTATCCCTTCAGATCATAAGCCCCTGGCCAAGGGAAGAGAACGTAATTTATATGTAGAACCTACATAATACAATACGATATTGTATGATGCATGCTTACAAACAGGATTTAACGATGTTGGAAATAAATAAGCCAGGGGAAGGGGGCGAAGTTTGGAATTTTAAATAGAGTGAACCAGGTAGGGCTCACTGAGCAGATGGCATTTGAGCACAGACTCACAGGGAGGAAGAAGGCCGAGCTGATGTGGGAGGGAGAAGAGCAGTCCAGCCGGGACTCACAGGTGGCAGGTCCAAGGAACAGTGAGAAGGCTGGTGTGTTCAGAGCTGAAAAAGTAAGGAGAGCATAAGATTGTATAGGACTTTGTTGGCTGTAAAGACTTTTTGTTGTTGTTAATCCTCCCCTGAGGATATTTTTCCACTGATTTTTAATTTTTGTAGAGAGAGTGGAAGGGAGGGGGGAAGACAAAGAAACATTGAGTGGCTGCCTCTAGCATGCGCCCTCCGACAGGGCCAGAGAGTGAGCCTGCAATCCAGGTATGTGCCCTTGATCAGAATTGAACCCAGGATCCTTCAATCCAAGAGCTGATGCTCTATCCACTGAGCCAAACCAGCTAGGGCTAAAGACTGGCTTTTATTCTGAGTAAGGTGGGGCATCATTGCACCCCAGCTGCTCTGGGCCTCTGGGCAGCGTGGGAAGGCGGAAAGGCGACTCTGGCCAGAGAAAAGGCAATGCCGGCAGCCAGGGGAAGGAAGGCTCATTCCTGCACGAATCTTCGTGCATCGGGCCTCTAGTATGCATATAAGATCTTTGGTTAATTTATTCCCATTTCCCATCCCCCCTACCCTCAGAGATTCATCAGTCTGTTCCGTGTTTCCATGACCCTGATTCTATTTTAGTCATCAATTAATTTTGTTCATTAGATTTCTTGTTTGTTTTGATTTTTAGATTTAATTATTGATATGTATTTATTGCCATTTTATTGTTCATATATTTTTTTTTTATCTCTTCTTCTCCTTTTCCTTAACTTTCTTCTTCTCCTTTATCCTCTCCCTCTTCCTAAAGAATACCCTTTAACATTTCATGTAAACTGGTTTGGTGGTGATGAACTCCTTCAGCTTTTTCTTGTCTGTGATGATCTTTATCTGACCTTCAATTCTAAATGATAGCTTTGCTGGGTAGAGTAATCTTGGTTGTAGGTCCTTGCTATTCATCACTTTGAATATTTCTTGCCACCCTCTTCTGGCCTGCAGAGTTTCTGTTGAGAAATCAGCTAACAGTCATATGGGTACTCCCTTGTAGATAACTACTTTTCTCTTGCTGCTTTTAAGATTCTCTCTTTGTCTTTAACCTTTGGTATTTTATTTATTTACTAGAGGCCCAGAGCATGAAATTCGTGCATGGGTAGGGTCCCTAGGCCTGTGATCAGGGCCGATTGGGGTCTTCCTTCCCCTGGTTGCCTTCATTCCGCGCTGCTCCTGATGGTCAGCACATGTCATAGTGAGCAGTCAAACTCCTGAAGCGACAATTTGCATATTAGCCTTTTATTATTTATTTGTTTGTTTATTATTTCTGTTGTTAATCCTCACCTGAGGATATTTTCCATTGAGTTTTAGAGATAGTGGAAGGGAGGGGGAGAGGCCGAGAGAAAGAAACATTGATGTGAGAGAGAGAAAGAGAGAGAGAGAGAGAGAGAGAGAGAGAGAGAGAGAGAGAGAAGAGAGAAGAGAGCATTGATTGGTTACCTCCTGCACAGAGAGAGAGAGAGAGAGAGAGAGAGAGAGAGAGAGAAGAGAGCATTGATTGGTTACCTCCTGCACATGCCCCAGCCAGGGCCCCAGCCTTGGAGGATCCTACAAACAAGGTACATGACTTTGACTGGAATCGAACCTGGAATGCTTTGGTCTGCAGGCTGACACTCTATCCACTGAGCCAAACCAGCTAGGGATGTGTCTTGGTGTGGGCTTCTTTGGGTTTCTTTTGCTTAGGATTTTCTGTGTTTCCTGGACTTGTAAGTCTATTTCTTTAACCAGGTAAGGGAAGTTTTCTGTCATTTTTTCAAATAGGTTTTCAATATCTTGCTTTCTCTCTTCTCCTTCTGGCATCTCCATAATGCAAATGTTGGTGTGCTTGAAGTTGTCCCAGAGGCTCCTTACACTATCTTGATATTTTTTGCTGTTTTGATTGGACATGTTTTGCTTCCTTATATTCCAGATCATTGATTTTATTCTTTGAATCCTCTACTTTACTGTTGAATCCCTGGTTTTCTTTTCATGTCTTTGACATTCTCATTAAGATCCTTGAAAGTCTCGCTAAGTCCCTTAAGCTCTCATTAAATCCCTCGAAGTTTTCATTAGGTCCCTGAAGCTCTCATTACAATCCTTGAGTATCCTTATAACCATGGTCTTAAACTCTGTATCCAACAGTTTGCTTGCTCCCATTTCTTTCATTTGTGACATGTATGTTTCTTTGTCTCCTCATTTTGGCTGCTTCCCTATGTTTGTTTCTATGTATTAGGTAGAGCTGTTATGTTTCCTATAATTGGTAGAGTGGCCTTGTGTATTAGGTGTCCTGTAGGGCCCAGTGGCTCCACCTCCCCAGTCACCTGAGCTGGGCTCTGTAGGTGCGCGCCTGTGCGAGCTGTGTGCATAGTTTTGTAGATGAGCTTTGATTGCTATTGGGATCACTGGGAGGAATTGACTTCCTGGCCTATTAATTATGAGGACCAGCTGTGACTACGTAGAAGAGCAGTTGTGCAAGAGACACCCCTATGAAGTAGGACTTGCTTAAGTGGGGCTTTGGTGCTCACTGAATCTGCCCCTTAAGTGTGTCACTTGTGGATGTGTAGCGTAATCTGCTAGGGTCTGAAGCTGCCCACCAGGTGATTTGGCTCTGGAGTCACCCAGGAGGTGCAAAGTCAGCCACTACCTGGGGCCACCCTGCAGGAGCTACAGAGAGATCTGCAGAAGGCTGCTACTTGTCTGTTAGACACTGCCCACATTTCCTAGGAAGAAACCTTTGGCCCAGCTGTGAAGCAAGGTAGGCTGGTGCTAGTGCCTGGGTCTTGGGCTTTTTATTGGTAGGTTTGGGCACACTGATGCCAGCTGCTGCTTGTTTGAGAGATTTTATTTATTTTTATTATTTATTTATTTATTTGTTTTAATATATTTTATTGATTTTGTACAGAGAGGAATGGAGAGAGATAGAGAGTTAGAAACATCGATGAGAGAGAGTCATTGATCAGCTGCCTCCTGCACACCCCTACTGGGGATATGCCTGCAACCAAGGTACATGCCCTTGACCGGAATCGAATCCAGGACCTTTCAGTCTCCAGGCCGATGCTCTATCCATTGAGCCAAACCGATTTTGGCTGTTTGAGAGATTTTAGCAAAGTCTGAAGCCTGAGCCAGGATAGGCCATTCATATGGAAAAGCCACTGCAAACAGCTTGGGTGGGGCTGCAAATTGGATGGGGCAGGGTCTCAGAATCACCAGGATGGAGCAAACAGTGTAGCCCACACTGAGGGAAACTCGGATATGGCTTCTAGTCATCTCTGTGATGGGGAAAGTGTCAGTAAAGGAACAATGACCCCTGCAAACACCTCTCTCTGGGAGAAAGCCAACCCCCTGCTCCTGTCCTGATGCTAGGCAGTTCAGTTCCTCCCCATGTTCCCCAAATTCACTGGAAGCTGCCACCAGTGCTGTAGCTCAGAGGAAGCAGGACTGTGTAAATTTGTGCATGGGCCTTTTAAGAGGAACACCTGGGATGACAGAAGCCTCCATGTCACTCAGTCACAATCCCTGCTGGTTTTTACAGCCCAAAGTTACGGGGCATTCTCTTCCCAGCTCTGGAATCCTGGGCTGGGAGTCTGGTGTAGGTCTGGAATGCCCTGCTTCTCATGGAAGGCCTTAGAGATAATAAAAATGCCACACGTGGGTGCAGTCTGTTCTGCCCCTCTGCCCTTCCTAACAGTCTCAATATACTTTCTTCTTCTCTATTGTAGGACTTCCATTCAGCCAGCTTTCTGGTGGTTCTGACCGATGGTTGTTTTGTATTTCAGTTGTAATTTTGGGAGGCAGCAAGTACCAGCGTTAAACACTGCCATCTTGTTTTCCCCCAG